AAAGAAGCTTGCATTTCTTTCATTTCTCTCACTAAAGTTACAGCTGATAAAAATCTAGACCTTGGGCCCATGATCAGAACAGAAGAATCGACGGGATAAGTGTTGTTACCATGATGGGGACAGGAAGATTTTCGTTTCATCTATCTTCTTGCAACAACTTTACAATGGTAAAGCTCTTGGCATTTGCGCTCATGACCACATGACACCGTGTTCTAGATGAGGCTAACTTGCGGGATCTGTTTCCATTGTACAGATACAGGTTGACACAACATGGGTAGAAGCTCGTAATTAAGCTCCCGAGCAACTCTAAATCCGAGCGCCGGATGCGGCTGGGGACTGCCGTAGTACCCCACAGTTCGTGAGATAATGCGGGATGAGATGGCTCTAGATCTCCCCGTAAATGTCCCGATATGGACTAGCGTATCTTGTCTCTGAAGATTCGCGAGACCGATAGGGAATATCTCTGCTTACCGCGTTCCAATGTCTCTACATGAGTCCATTGTAGCCGATATAAAATGAGAGACATCAAACTGGTCTACACTGAATTTACACAGGGAAGAATTCGGTAACACATCGAGTACTTTAAGCTCATAAACAGATTGGTCGTTTTTCAATAATCCCAGTATTCATCATGCTGACAAGCCTGGAGCTCATATCATCAATTTCGCTCCATGAGTCTTGGTAGATGTAAGCGCTCTCTAAAAGGCGAGTAAGTGTTTCAGCCTGGAAGTAGCAGGTATTGGTGAAGCTAAAAGAGGCCGCGAGTGTGAGTTTAACGAGAGCTACGTCAAGCTGAGGTCTGGTATCGCGATCGGCTTGAACCATTGCCATGTACGCCAGAATTTGGCCTTCAACACCCTGGAAGCCTTCCTGTTTGGCTTCAACCATGACAGCATGGCATGCCATATGGTCATCCTCCCCAAAGAGAAGGTGTTGTGTAGGGAGTTCGTCCCAACCCTCGTTTGTAGACAGGTCCGCTCCCCGCTTCTCCCTTCTTCTTCTTCTTCTCTCTCTCCCAAGGCATCGTGTCGGCAAAGCCATTTTGAAGTCCAAAATAGACAGTCGAGAGACAGGCAACAATACCGATAATCAATCCGATCGCAACTGAGCGAAATTTGAATGTGATGGATTGCGAGATGATGGGAGGGACATGTAGAAAGATCTTGGCGGGGCAAAGTATGCAAACACACTCCTGAGGTCCGGGCCCAGAGCCCATGGATCGGCCCGAAGCGGGCCCCTAAACCTCCCTGCATCACCCCATCAGAAATCGATAATCCCAAACCCAGGACCAGCCGAACACACTAGCCTCCCACGTGAATCAGAAAAAGGTACCCAATACGGAGTACGAGAACAGAAAGAGAGAGGAAAAAAAGAACTTTTCAGTGAATTGTGGCTAGTTAGTACAATCCAAAGACAGAAAGTGGCCTGAGGCCAAAATAATGTGACCAAGTCTATGATTTCTGGTCAATTGGAGCGAACTTTAGAAGCAGGGGTCCATCAAAAGGTGATGAAAAGTCTAGTGAATTATTATATGATTCTGTGGCAATTTGTAAGTTACAAAAGATGCAAAACAACGCGAACGGCAACGAGGCCACGAGAGGCCTTGACGAGGCTCTAAGTTCGGTTTCAGGAAGTTGATCACTCTACATGTACCTCAAGGGATATATATAGTTGAGCTAGCCTGCATATCGCTTTTTATTGCGAGGGGTTAGGGTAAATGAAACACAAACTTCATATATGGGCGTAATTTACTTGCTGAACAATGAGCAAACAGAACAAACAATTAGGCCTGATTTCCCAGGCATCCAACAACACCCACTCCCCAAACCATCAGGATTCAGCCGCACCAGAGTTCCTGCGTCTTTGATTCACAGCCGAGATGCCTGAGATCCCCGATCTAGTCATTGACTCTAAACTAGAGACCCAGTTTCTCCCCGACTGCAGTGTTCGAACCGCACATACATATCGCGAGCCGGATCCTAACTTAGAACCCGACTGGCCATTCGGGTGGAACATTGGAGGCGACAAAGCAAACTCGGAAGTGGAACGTATGGGAGCGTTTGGCTGGAAGAATGCATTGAAGGAGAGCCCGCTGCCAAGTTGCGGGCTGTCAAGCAAATTGATCTCAAGAGACGAGACGCAAGAATTGATTACAACCGTGAGCTTGAGGCGATAGCCAAGTTCTCGCAACCGAGGGTCTGTGATTCAATTTAGTCCCCGTCTCGACATATATTGTGTGCTAACTCAGTTTAAAGTATGCAAGATGTTTTGTGAAGTCCTTTGGTTGGTATGACAGCCCGCACCATTTGCTGATCGCCATGGAGTATGTGGAAAAGGGGGATTTGCGTGGATATTTGCGTAGAAGACCCGCACTACCGGAGAGGGATGTGAAGGAAATCGCTTTCCAAATACTGGATGGTCTGAACATGATGCATGACAAAAAGTTCGCCCACCGAGACTTGAAGCCAGAGGTCAGTCCCTTTTGCCGAACACCAAAACATCGTCTTACGCAGTACAGAATATCCTCATACAATCTCAGCCACCTGATGAATGGTGGATCAAGATATCGGATTTTGGCATCAGCAAACGCGTTGGCGAAGATCCCAGCGCTTCCACAGCTCTGCAGGGAACCCCAGGATACATAGCCGCAGAGCTATACCAGATGGTTGAGCAAGGGACCCCCTATGCCTCGGATATCTGGGCAGTTGGTCAGATTTTGTTTGAGCTGCTCACCAAGAAAACGGCATTCAACCAAGTGATCTCGCTCGTAAAATACGTGACAGGGACAGAAAAGCTCCCAATAGATCGGCTTCCTAATTTCGGTTCAAGTGCAATTTGTGGTGACATTCTGAGCGCGCTGATGTGCCCCCTTCCAAATGATCGAATCACTGCCCACGTGGCAATCTCACATCAGTGGATCATTTCGAAAATCGATCACCTGTCAAATGTCAGTTCTGAAAGCACACCAGACACGCAAACAATTCCAACTGTCTCCATGGTAACAGAAAGCTATGCGTCCTGGAATACAGCTGTTCCCTCTTCCAAATTTGGCAGCGCCAACACTCAAAGTGCAAAATCAGATGTGCCATTGGTTCCGCGTGGTGAAGAAGCACATATTGAGCCATCCAGCACCAACCAAGATCATGCTCAAGCAGCGCAAGTCGCTTCCTCAAACACAGCTGTTCCCTCTACCATACTTGGCAGCACCATTGATCGAAGTACATCGTCAGATGCGCCACTCTTTCTTCGTGGGCAACAGGCACATGTTGAGCCAGCCAAAACCGACCAGGACCATGCTCAAAAAGCACAAGTGTACAAAAAGAGAGAATGGCCCATTGGCTCACAACTTGTGGACTTTTTCTTCTCAGGCGACGACAAGGCGCTAATAGCCGCGGGTGGCAGTTCCATCGATGCCTGGAGTCTTTCAGATCGGGCCCCTACAGGGGGTGTGTTTCAGAGTGAGGATGATCAGTCTTTATTTCGGATATTTGGCGTCGCCCTTTCGCCAGACACCAAATGCCTGGCTTTCGGTGACATGTACTCGCGATTGAACTTTCTGGCATTTCAGCCAGAGACTCAGTTCCAGACTCACCTGATGGAAAGCTATAGACTGGAACGGCCCATGGGTGTATTTGAAGTGGTCGTATTCTCTGCAAACGGGAAAATGGTGGCCTGTTACGCAGGTGATTGGGTCGTCATCTGGCACGTTGCTCGGATGAAAGAGATTGAAAGCTTTAAACTTCGCACGGATTACGAAGTCTCCAAGACTTGCAGATCCATAGCATTCTCTCCAGACTCTTCGCACTTGATGTATTTTTCCGATCGCCAAAATCTACGATTCCAGCGCGTGAGTAGCAATAGCCGCTCCCACAACGACCTTCGTCTGCCCTTAAACGCGATAATCACACGGTTCTCTCCAGATGGCAAATATCTGGCCTTCACATCTGATGTGCGCGGGAAGGTTTTCATAATGCAAACAGTCCAGGATGTCGCTGTGCTTAGGCCTTCTTCCGCCAGTTTTTTCTTGAGACCGAAAGGACAAGTTTTCACGAAAGCGACATACCAATTCCATGACTTCAAGATATCCCACACAAGAAGCTCTCGAAATGATGATCACATGAGTCATCGCGTTGAAAGTATGGATTTCTCCCCAGACGGGAGGCTCCTAGCTGTCTCCTTTCAGTGCCAGGAACATCAAAATCAACAAATTGTCATCCTCTCGGTTGATGAAACATCAGAACTATGGCCCCCAAAGCTTCAAGAACTATTCAGAATTATCGAGAATCGGAATTCTGTGGCGAATTTGAATGCGAGCTCTCTTCATAAAGTGGCCTTTTCCCAGGATGGAACGTCCTTCGCATCCTTGTGCGATGGGGAAGTCATTAGGCTCTGGAAAACCAGATCAGGGGAGCCTTTCCGAGAATTGCGTCAAAAAGAAGCAGGAAACTGTGTGGAATAATATTGCTAGTCTGGATTTTCTCAGGTCTGCAAATATTGAATTGCGAAGAGCTAGCGGGCGGGTGGCATGAGAGATGAAGTAGTTAAAATAACACAAGCTATTAGAGGTTAGATATACAAAGTGAGAGAAACAGAAATACCATAGAACGTGTTAAAAAAGTAAATATCTTAGCGTAGTGTTCCAGGTCTGTTAGTCAAGCCCACGGTCCCCGACGACGCGCTGAAGCTAGATCAGGCTGAGAAGTTACTCAACCAGGCATTGAAAGGATATGAACAAAGTCCGATGAGGAATAAAAGCCGCGCGTTTGCCCTGCCCCAAAAATGACCGCTGAACTCAATATCAATAGCATTGGCTTAAAGCATGTTGATTTGAACTACCTAGGTAAGTTGTCTTTTTCAAACGAGACCCCAGCCCCCAGCAATGAAATCACCCAGAACAGCACTGGTAACAAGAGGATAGTATTCTTTTTCAAACGAGACCCCAGCCCCCAGCAACGAAATCACCCAGAACAGCACTGGTAACAACAGGGAAGTATCCTTTTTCAAACGAGACCCCAGCCCTCAGCAATCAAGTCATCCAGAGTAGCACAGGTAGCGAAAAAGCCATTAAACAAATGGAAAAACCCAGCAACACCACCGGAGTCAACATCAACCATGGGGGCACCGCATACGCCATCTGAGATAGAGCCTTCAATGTTGCCGAAAACTGTGTTGACCGAATTGGTCTGCCATTCTGAAAATGGAATCTCGGGATGGCCGACTGGACGGGGTGGTCGTTTGTCGTAAACGCCACTGTTCATCATGCTGAAAAGGCCGGAGCTCATTCCATCAATTTCGCACCATGAGCCTAGGACGATGGACGCGCTCTCTAAAAGGCGAGTCGGCGTCTCAGCCTGAAAGTAGCAGACATTGGTGAAGCTGAAAGAGGCCGCGGGTGTGAGTTCAACGAGAGCTACGTCAAGCTCAGGTCTGGTATCAACCACCTGGCCGATGAGGTCCCCCCCGTTGACCTGGGGGTGGTAGACATCGTTCGAGGACAGAAACCCATGGTGAGCCACAGCCACAGTGAGTCTTTCTTCTCCTGCGATATTGCGAATTTTGACCCCACATGTGGTTGCGGCGTTGGCTGGTTGCGATCCTGGGCTTGGTACCTCAAATCCACTTTCGACCCTGCATCCTGGCGTCAGAGTCGATCGTCTGAGGTAATTCGCGGTATCATGCACTGCAGGACTAAGGGAGGATGCCTCGGATGGCTGAATGATCCGAGGGCGAGTGAGACTCCGCATAGTTTTGAAAAAGGGGAGATCATGGTGGTGATAGAGGGCTGTTCTACCTCCCACGGTACCGGGTAGTGAGAGTCTTGGATATGTACGGCCATCTCCTGTTTCAAGCTCGAAGATCGTCCAGAACGGAAGAAAAATGGCAGCCCGTACGTTAGCAAGTTGCGAAATAGCCTCAAGAATAGCTATTCTCTGACTTTTGGTCGGGTTGACCATTCGCGGCCAACGAACCCCCGGGCACGGATCGGGAAGACGAGGGTTAGGCCACGGACCGGAAGGCATAGGTTCTTGAAGAGGGGCTCCAGGAGGCACGAAGAGAACTGGCATCGCTCCAAGTGTGAATGGAATTGGCTGTGGTGGCGAGGCGGTCTCGATGCGCATCAGCCATCCGTTGTGTTTCCAGTCTCCATTCCCAAACTGTCTCCTGATCCAGGCGTTCTCCTCACGTGTAGGAAGGCGGTACTTGCGGTTGGCTTCGTCCCAGAGCGTAAAAGGCGCCGAGTCGTTTATGTGTCTCGCTCCCCATGCACCAGGGTTTTCCCAGCGTTTCGGCTCCGGGTGAGAGTGAGAGCCAACTAAGCCGGTATGTTCAGTGTTCTGACGGGTTCGGAGCGGAGAGATCGGAGCGTTTGTATAGATGTCCAGGTAAGGAGAGTTCTGTTGGAGGTTGGCGATCTGTGGGGAAAGGCGGATTGGTGACGGCATTGGTGACGACATGTCGAGTTGTGAAGAGCACTTTTGAATCGTGCAAGGGAAGACTGGATCATGCACTGGAGTGAAGATGAAGTGAGGATGGAGAGCAGAAGGGAAGAGAAGAGTCAAAAGAAATGGTCCAACAAGGCTACTTAAGTAGTTTTTCCAAACCTTGGAATACCACCGCAAACCAAAAAGCCACATAGTCCTATTGATCTTTATTGTTCACCCAAACGAAGCTAGCGATCAATAGGCAACCAATTAGAAGCCTCCAAATCCCAGGTTCTAGCTTCGTTTGGGTGAACAATAGAACCTGGGATCTGGAGGCTTGCCGACGCAGGGCACGGGTGGCCACTTTAGAGGTCGGGTCGGTTCCTCAGTTTTTCCAAGCTTATTGAAACTGAAGCAGGAAAAAAGGATATGGAAACAAAATCAGAGCAAGAGAGGAAGAGAAGAGAGCAATCCATGGTGTGGTGGTAGCGTTCAATAGTAAAGCGGGAAAAAAAATCCCAAAAAAGAAACTCCGATAGGGGGAATCGAACCCCCGGCTGTCGTGTGAGAGACGACGATGTTAGCCACTACACCATATCGGATATTGGATGATTAGCGTGACGTTATTTGGCCATATGAGCCTTTTGGCTTAGCGCTGATGGTCCCTGGGCGTAGTTGGCGGGTTGTCATTGGTAACATGTGTTCCCGGTCTGGTCAAAGACGACACTACTGCATGAAGCGGAGGTATAACAGAGATCAACGCAGTTTTCAAGGGTTGAAACCGACTCGATGTTGAGATACGGCGTGTAGTGGCGCATTCTATAGCAGTTGTAGAAAGTCTGGATATCTTGTAAGCGGCTGACTCGATAGAAAGATATCAGAGATACCATATAGGCTGACATAGATTTGACCATTGGTCTCGGGACAGGTCATGCTGCAGCGGCTAGTCGCTATACTGGGCTGCTTGGTGGCCGGAGGGATATTCGAGAAGGCATAGAGCTGGCTTCCGTGTGAGGTTGGTTGGGAATATCTCTAGTCGAGGAGATTACAGTAGAGGGTGGACGGATTGAACGAGACACTAGAAACCGTCAAACAAACAGTACGCATAGCTGAAAGTAAATAAGCTTGATTAACGCTGTCTGATCCATTGACTATGAGGGGTGGGATTGGAAATCGACCCCTGGGCTTCAGCAATGGTAGCGAGATACAGAAGACATTGATTGAAGGACAACACAGGTTCGTTAGACTGATTTGCGGGGTCTAGAGGCGTATATCTGACGGATGATTTGATCACGGGGGAATCCTCAATTCTCCAAGTTGATCCGACCTGAATTTGTCGTAATAAAATGGTCTGGCGGTAATTGGTGATGAAGCCAAACACACAGCTGTTGTGTACGGTATTCGCCCCAACCCCCATATGTAGATAGTTCCCAGCTCCCTAGCCTTTTCCCTCTCTCTTTCTCTCCCCGCAGTGAAATTCAGTCGGTTCTCTCGGTCCTTTTCTCTGGCCGTTCAGTCTCAATAACAGCCAAGGTCTAACATGCATGAAACAGATTGCGCAAGGACCTCTCGCAACAAAGTTGAATTTGTAGCACACAAGTCAAGTCGATGCTCCATCAAGCACGGTACCTTGACTTCGTCGACAACTCTTAGTTGCTGCGCATTGGCGTTTTGCAGATTGGGCAAAGAAAGCATGACCGCGTCGGGGGTCTTGCTGTATGGAAGTCCAGTGGAATTGAAGCCCCCTGGTGCTATATTGATTGATTGAGCCTCGAATACTGCACCAAGGACTGTTGTGTAGGGAAGCCGTTGAATAAAGCCGATCTTGGGAATCTTTGTCCATCGAATAAAATCGATATCGGTATTGAACTCCGCACCATAGGATTTTGGAGTATTGAATACTGCAGCACATCCGTAGAATAGTAAGGCCGCAGTCCTGGGAATCCGTATCCCTCGCAAAAAATCAATCTTGGCAATCTTCGTCCATCGCAAAAGATCGATCTCGGGAATCTTCATCCATCGAGTAATTTGCTCTTGTCGAACAATCGTCGTTGGGAGCTGTATCAACATAGTTCCCTCAATTGTCGAACATCCACCCACTTCCTTATCCAATCTTTGACCTCGATCCCATTGTAGTGTATCCAGGCGTTGGACATGTTGATTAGGGGTAGTAGTTGTAGTGATAGCGATACCAGGCTTGTTTGGGACGGAGGCTTTCTTTGCCGTTGCTGCGCCCACAAAGCCGGCCCGCTTTTTCCGTTGAATGGAATCGAACTCCGCACCACGAGGCTCTGGAGTATTGAAAAGGGTAAGGGATCCAGGTTCGGATAAGTCAGCGCCTTGACTTTTGTTGGCGTCAACTTTTGATTTGCTCGTCGTCAAAATCCTCCCATTCTCCAGGTGCTGCATAACCAGCAGACAGGTTTCCAGCGGCGGCAGCGGCAGCAGCAGGCACATTGCCAGGGGGCGCTGCGGAGGCCATCGTGGCGGGGTAGGGGGTGGAGATCTGACGATTCGACAAAGCGAGGTCATAAAGTGAAGCAAGTAAAGTGAAAGTGAGGGCGAAGTGGGGCAGTTGAACGGAGTCAACCACCCCCTTCTCCAGGAAAGGAAGTAGTATCTAGTTCTGATAAAGATAGAGAGCTAGTGTGTAGGAAGGGTCGGAACAGAAGTCTCTAGATGCGTGAGGAAGGGAGAAAGAGAGAGAGATGTGGGGAGATATTATAGGTGCAGACCGGTCACGTGATCTGACATCTAACACCCCCCACGAGCCTCATCTTAAGCTCGATCCAGACCTTGTACTATGTAAAGTATGTAAGATATAAAGAATACTATTATGCATGCAAAAAAAGTAATCATACACTCCTAGTAAAGCACCAGAAAATTGAGAGGCATAGAGCTAGCTTCCATAGAAGATTGGTTGGAAATATCTGCAGTCGAGGAGATTAGAATAGAGAGTGAAGGGCTTAAACAAGACACTAGAAACTGTCAAACAAACAGTATGCATAGCTGAAAGAAAGAAAAGGTTGATATAGGAGAGAAATTCTGCCCCAGAACTTGAGAAATTAAACTTTCTTGCTCAGGTGGTCAACATGAGATCACTATCAAGTTACCCTTATACCTTCACATTTCTTTTACCCTTCCACCCTCACATTTCTTTCACCCCTTTTCCCCATCTCCAAGCTACCTGCCATGGATTCATCAATGGAATATCTCACCGATCTTGAAGGAACAGAGGTCACGTTTGATGCCGTTGCGGAACCACCGTTCAACTTCCCCGCCCAGAAATGGATAATACTTGAGAAGCTCGGGGAAGACTCGAATCGCCTGACAAAGGAAGACATCGCCGCGGAGATCGGACCCTCAGACACCGCCGGGAAGTTCCTATGCCGACCTGCCAGTGAGGTAGACGATAACAGGCGCGCATTTTTACGCATTTATCAACAAGTTCCTATAGCTGGAACTGAAACGAAGAAGGCCGCCTTGCGGGCTAGCCAGGCCGTCGACACCCCTCCTGACCATCGAGAACTGATCGCTTTCCGGACATTCACAAAGCTAGGCTGTGACGTTGTTCCTCGACTACTAGGCTATCAACAGCGCCAGCAGGACCACGACGAGGGTGTTCCCGGGGGATATATCACATACATTCTATGGGAAAAAGTCGCTGGCGAGTCTCTTAATTTGACTGAATTCTGGAGGCTCCCCTTTGCCGACCGCCAGGCTATCCGCGATCAGTTCCGCCAAGTCTATGCGTATGATTATCTAGTGACCACAGCAAAACATTAGGCTAACTGAGAACAGAAAGTTTTTACTATGCGGTTTCATGCCATGCATGGCTGGTCCATCGAAGATCATACTCGACAAGTCTAGTGGCCAAATGTGTGTCTATGCGACATTATCCATGTGGAATGTTATGATCTAACTATCTCTAGGCACATCTGCGGTTTCAAACGCGCAGCTCGGTTTGACGAACCTCGTCAGTGGAGTGACATTAACTACTTCCTATACGGACTCATTCATCCCTCCGGTAAGCGGATCTACTGGGAAGGTACACCACCCGAAACGGCGGATTGGATCGAAGATGTCAACGGCTGGACGTGGTGAATGTGGAAACAACCACAGCGGGATACAGTGTGAAGTATGATCTGCCATCCTGTTCCTTCCTGGCTGGCTTGGTAGAAAGATATGAACCAAGGGATTGCTGCAGGTGCAATAAAGGCGTACTATGTCAGATGTTACTTGCAATTTATTGAAGTTTATCTTTATTGTCTCAGGTTCTTGCTTGCATGAATGTATTTGCTATCCACAAAAGTATTTGGACAGCATAGTATGGTTAACCCGGTCTGATCCATTGACTGCGAGGAGTGGGATTGAAAACCGGCCCCTGGGCTTCAGCAATGACAGCAAGAAACAAAAAACATTGATTCAAGGACAACACAGGCTCGGCCAAAAAAGTTCCGGGGTCCAGGGGCGTGTATCTGAAGGATAAGTCGATCGCGCGGGAATATTCAATTCTCCAAGTGGATCCCACCTGGATTTGGCGTAGGAATATGGTGTGGCAGTAGTTGGTGATAAAGCCATACATACAACCGAGGTCTAACATGTACGAAATTGGTTGTGCAAGGACCTCTCGCAACAAATCTGAATCTACACACAAGTCAAGTTCATGCTCCGTCACTCATGGTACCTTGACTTCCCCGACCACTCTTAGTTGCTGTGCATTGGAGTTTTGCGGATCGGGCAAGGAGAGCATGACCACGTCGGGGGTCCTGATGTATGCAAGTCCAGTTGACTTGAAGTCCCCGAATGCCATATTGATCGACTGGGCCTCGAATACTGCACCAAGGACCTGTCCAGCAGCTTGCTGGAATCGCGCAGAAACCCCGGCCTCATCTCCAACGAAAACTTTCTCATTGGTGAGATCTCTGGCTTGGAGGCTGATCTGAATCGCCTGTTGACTCCACTGCTGTTGATCGTAGCAATTTTTGGCAGAATTAAGGAAATCTCTCCATGGCAGAAGTGGGCCAATGAATCGTATTTTATGAAGCGCGCTTGACGTCGTCCGGCTTTCACTGATGAGGAGATCGAGGAGAGGCGAGACGGCAATGTCACGGGGGCGTTTCACAGAGGGCATCGTGTAGAACTTGTTTGCTTGGGAGGCTGTCAGTATGAATTTCGAATGCTAGCGATGCGCATAATTTCATACAGTCACAGTGTTCAAGATCGAGTGATGCAGTGGTACAAGGGTTGGGAGGTCCAAGGGTTGGGAGGTCCAAGGGTTGGGAGGTCCAAGGGTTGGGAGGTCCAAGGATTGGGACTTGAGCTAGGTGGTGAATCGATCTGGTCGTAGAGGGAACTGTCTGAGTCGCTCCATGTGGTTCATCTTCCACCTCTTCCACCTCTTTCCCATTTCACCATCTCCGCAATGAGCGTGCACTGCCTATCCCCCTTCACGCCGAGCATCGTCAGCATCAGCACCATCCGTGTCATCGAATATCCCTCGACCTGAATCCCAGGCACAGTCAACTAGCTCTCAGACAACTGAGCCGCCGCTAGCACTAGTGAATTTCTCGACAGCCGCAATGTTGCCTGGAGCTGATCCAACTTTTGCTGGAGGGCCTGGTGAGGCGGTTGATGTATATACATTTCCAAATGCAAATTCTATTGGGCCGGTCGAGGCCTGGCAGACGACGAAACAAAACAAAAAAACAAAAACATACAACAGTGAGGATTCGCTGGTGGTCACCCACCCAACTACTAACTCACCGGCGTGTGGCTTAAGTACGGCTGAGCGGACGGGAAGCCCTGTTCTCCACACCCTGTGGTCGTATGTACTGTAATTGGTACTGAAAGGAAATATATTGAGAACAAATGGGAAGGTCACCATCAAGATTGCATGCGATGTGCACATGTAGACCAGCATTCACCAAAATATTCCTGCCATCGGTACTGCCGGGCTATTATTTTGCGCATGCTTAGCCTTCCAAGGACGCATGAAACCGCAGCGAGGGTCTTGAAGACGAGATACGTTGGAGTTGACGTCAGGGTCTATTAAAAATGAAATTCATGCCAGAGGCCTTACTTAAGTATTTGACGATCAAAAAAGCGACCAGCACCACCCGAGTGGTATCTATTGGTCCTGTGTTGCCTCAGTTGGCTGGATGTACCCTTATTTTTTAGAGATCTCAGCTGGCTCCCACAGGGAATACTACATGCCCATGCGATATTGCACGAATTGAGAATCGGCCATCGTATCGTACAGCCGACGAGCATTCAAATTATCGTGCTTCGTTAGCCACTGGAGACGCAAACAGCCCATCTCTTTCGCGATGTCCGCGACGGCTTGAATCATTCTGCGGCCTTGGCCCTTGCCTCTCAAGGCAGGGTCAACGAAAAGATCTATCGACGTATTATGGTAAGCAATGCACTCTCAAGAATTTTTTTTCCCAGGAAACAGAGCTAAACAGACCATTCAGAAGCAGAATTTTCTTCTCGCTCCAGGGAGTTTGTTCGGGGAAGAAGTGGGCCAACGCAATTATTTTGCTTTTCCCTGATTCTGTCTCCTGCTGTCGCATCACCAAAGCGTCTAAATCAGACTTGGGGTCCAAAATCCGCTCAAAGGTCTTCTGGTATTGGTCCTCGGGAATCGAAGTTTCGTAGAAGTTGATGTAACCCTTAAACAACCCAGCCCATTCTTTAAAGTCCTTGCGATCAAGCTTTGTGATCACAGATTCGCCCGAGGAAGCCATTTTTGAAACTTGAGATCGTGTGGAGGGGGTATGCTGACCAAGTTGGACTTTACCTCGGCGGGGTGGGAGGTTGCTGTGGTGACAGAATTGTGATATGCGGGGGATTTTCTGTGGCAGAAGCAGAGGTCGTGATTCACAGTCTTGGGCTGTTGGCTGCGATGTTGAGGAACTTTGATCTCGGAAATGAAAAACGTAGGGAAGGGAATATTTTGACGAGGACAATCTATCGAGGAAATAAGATGCCTTTTAACGGTCAAAGGTTAACGACGAAAAACCTGGCGTTGACTCACCGCGGAGACTTGCGCTTGAAGTGGAATAACAATTTATTTTGACGATTGGTCAATCGGAGGATCATTCGGCGATGGAAAGGATTCGGTGAATGGGGCCAATCGCGGGCATTTCATCTATACAAAGTGACCGGACATTAATATGGGGTGTGCTGCCTGCACCACGACTCTGGCGTACTTGGCGAGCTGTAAGTTGTCGATCCGGCGTAAATAAGCGCTAGTGGTTGAAGAGCTAGCTCCATCCCCCTTTTGGGGGCTGAACCTTCAAAAGTGTAGTTGTTGATGATGTTTTCCCATTACTACTAGGAATTACTCACAACAATCATTTCTTTGCGTTTGGTTGAAAGTACTAGTTATGATAGATATAGTGGACTGGCCTGATGTAATAGTAATCACCTTCAACGAGACTGATGCCCCTATCGACAAACTCGAAAGAACTTTAGAACTTGGCTACCTCTCAGCCCATGGCCTCCAAAAAAGGCCCGTGGGATCCCAAATTCCAACCAATCTCTTCAGTTCTTCAACCTTCTCTTCTGGAAAGAATTCCTCTAGCTTCGTGTCAGGAGCCATGTTGTTCACAAGGGTCCTTGGTGGTTCTGAAGCAACGCTGCCTTGTCGATACACGGTCTTGATTTCCTTGGCGAAGTCAGTTGCAGCACGCTCAGTGCTTCTTGTTTCGGACCAGCTGATTATCAAAGCCTGGAAGCCTCTTTCACGATGATCAAAATATCGGGCTTTGCCTTCCTGTGTTTTGCTGATCTCAGTCTGCTTTTCAGGGTTGAAACTGCTCAGAACCATGGTGGTGCGCGTTGCATCTTCGTATTGAGTGGTGAAATGAAGCCACTTATAGAAGGCAAACAGGGTACTCTGAACGGAAACTTTCGACATCGCAGCAGATTGGATATCTTTGAAGCCACCATGTACATCGAAATGGGCTAGTGCATTGTTAAGCGTTGCGAGAGGTGTTGGTGCAGTTTGGGCGACGATCGCTTTATTGACGATATCCTTCTCAAACAAAATCGGGACGGCCGCTTCCGCCTCATCAGATGGACCGTAATAAGTGACCGTGAGAATGATCATGGCGGCCCCTGGATTGGGAGCTGTTGGCGGTGCCCTTGCGAAAACGAGCGACATGGTCGTTTTGGATGTTGGAGGCTGTAGCCTATCAAAAACATTGGCTGCGAACTCGATGTCCCGTGCGGCAAAAATGAGTTTGCGGACCCAGGCACAGCCCATTGATAGGCGTAGGTTTTCTATTGGGAAAATCTTCATATCCAAGGATATGATCACTCCGAGCCCAAGCCCTGCTCCACATATAGCATGAAACAGTGCGAGTTCATCCCCGGTTGAGGACGAGCTGACTTCCACAATTCTTCCATCGGCTGTAATCAGGCGGACGGAAAGTACTTGGTCAATCATCATTCCGTGCATCCCGCCCATGGTCGGCTATTTGACAATTTCAGTTAGGTCTCAATCATCTAGTTGTGAGGGGTTCACTCACGTTGCCTCCGCCCAGAATGCTACCGACGACACCAACCGCATTGCTGTTGGTCCATGTAGTATAGAAGCCTTTGTCGGTGAGAGCTTTGATCAGCTCTCCTGTCACAGCACCACCTCCCACTCTGGCGGTTTGAGCTCCTTCGTTGACTTCAATTTGATTAAAAAGTTTCATATCAAGGTACAAAGTCTTGGATCCGATGTCGATAAAAGAGCCGTGACCCCCGCCGGCTGGTAAGACTTGAAGCGCATTTTCGCGGGCGTATTCCACAGCAGCAAGGATATCTTGTTCCTTTTCGGGGATAATGACAGTCGCAGGCTGCTCGTGTATTCCCTTCTTAGACCACCTTGAGATAGAATGGGAGAGGGAAGCAGTGGCATCGAGAGCCATCCCCTCACTTGTCGAACTAGCAAGATCACTCATTTCACAAAATGTTTCTCGCTAGAGACCAAACCGCACGAGTTGACTAGAGAAAGTTGATGACAATCCTTACAATTTATGATTCTGGTTTGCTATGATAATCTTGTAGAATCCTGTGATTTGGTCCCCTAAGTCCCGGAATTGTGGCGGGGGCTGAGCGAGGTCTAGAAACCATGATAGGTCCATGTGGGCCCTGTGCTTACTTTCGAAGTAGGGCTGAGTTGTAGCCAATATGTACTTGCATATATATTACAGAGCGAGACCCCGAGGTTTGTAATCCCGGACATGTAATCCACCGAGGCGCCGAGAGGTGCAAAAGTTATTTCTCATTTTCGTTTTGTTTTCACTTCCTCTTTTCTTATCTCTTACTTCCCATTTCACTTTTTTCTTCTCTTAATTTTTAAGCAATTTATGACACTTTTGAAAGGATCTAGCAGTATCTTGGTAAACAAGAAATTGAAACTAGATCAGCTCATAATGGCCTTGCAATGCATACTTGTCACTAGTGAGATTAATCAAAGATCGTACAAAATACGGTGGTGCAAAGTAGCAAATTCAACTCGGTCTGATGAGACAGCACAGCATATGGGTGAGAAAAGGCTAAAAAACAAATATCTAATCTACCATTCACAAGGGAGATGAATGCGGCACATATTCAAGGAGTTTGAACAGTCCTCGAGAGCGATCGACGGCAGGCACAACAGGCAGTGGTTACGATAAAACACAGAGTCTCAATTTCCGTGCCAGATCATGCTAACATTGGCTTGACTTGACAACATCTTTCGCTTAATTTCCACTGGGCTTGAGTAACCCAGTCGCAATTCCCAGATCTTCTCCCATTTCAACCCCGACGACTGACAGTTTCTGGCAATCTTGCAACACGAAAAGGAGACGCGCCCACTCAGTGTCACTAGGGTTGCGCCATGGGTGTCGGGTGTGGGATGGGGCATATAGCACAGATTGGAGGTAATACGCAAGGTAGAAATGATCTGGGAGTAAGATTCAAGGGGTTGACTCACTAATACAGGTATGAAATCCGGCCGCCCGAGCAGCTAGTATTAAAAGTGGAAGTCATTCCGCGCGTCCGTATCTGGTTGCGCAGCTCAACCCGAAGTTCGTCGGGAGATCCGATGTACGCTCGGGCAGATTGACCGTTGCTTGTGGTCCATTACAGTTCAGTCTGGAATGAGTTACATAATCCTCGAGGCCGTGGCACAATTAACCCAGAAGTTCAACATCACAAAGCCAGGCGCAATAAGTATAATTTGGAAATATTATCCTAAAACCCAAATAAGTATGTAATGCCTTACCTAGTTCCTTCTGTCGGATTCTTTCTAACTTACTTCTGATGTGGGCTAATAAAGTGAGAAATACTTTAACGGGCTAAAAGCCCATACGAAAGCCCGGGCTCTGCAGGCTGCCTGTGCAGCTAGACCGCGCCACAACTGGTTCATGGGTAGGTAAAGCCCAACCGCACCCCCCAACTGCGCTAATCATGGTTTGGTAGAATTCCAACCGCACTGCACTGCGAAACCGCATGGTTCGACCGCGGTCAACCGCTTAAAGACCATTTTGCGTAATTGACTTAAGTAGGCCATGCCAAACTGCATAAATTTGCTGATTCATGTTAATAAAATACCTAATGTACATAATAACTTTGACACTGAGTCTCAAAAAGTTCACCTTTTCGTCTTACTTTTGAGTCCTTGTCCACTACTTAAGTATCATAGCAATAGGGGAAATGGTTGAAAGAGATGAAAAAAAAGATGGGTTGGTTGCTGGGAATTGAGGTGGATCGAGTAGATAACGACTTACTTAATGACGGACATGTATGTAAAATCTTACGGTTTATGATTATACCTAGTCTGACATCTTGGGCTTGATTATATTCTAACAAGAATGACAGAAAATAAAGCTGTAGAAAGTGGTAGAAGGAACTTTGTATCATGCATATGTATCACTTACGTATGCAAGATATATAGATTTCAGCTATCAGGGATGGTTGTATATACTTAAGTATTTATCAGCGATTATAAGTGCCTTATACGATTGATGGGGTGAAACGGTTTGAGTTCTAGGGAAAGTCGAAAGCAGTAGAATATTTAAATACCCAAGTACAACTTACTTAAGTAGAAGCCCAGTCTTGATAACTTAGGCATTTGCCAAGAACAAGCTATTTGTCTTATCTGTAGAATCTCAGCGGGTGAACGGGTGACCCGCACCAATTCCCTCATCGTTCGAGGACCACCCGCGAGGCCCTCCGCAAAATGCGGGTTGCGGGTCGGTCGGGTCGGTTCCGAGTCCATGCGATTATGCCGGCACTAAGGGGACGAGACTACTAGTAGGTACATATTGAAATATGTTTGGGAGAGAGGCCGAGCCGAGTGGACCCACTCATCGTCGCGTTCATGAGCCCAAATTGGCATACCCTCGAGAGCCTCGCATACATGGAAAAGACGGCACCAAGGAGAGAAAGACCGCCCAGCTGGTTAGGAATGCTCGAACAATATAAGTATAGTGTGGTGGAAGCGGCGACTTTTATTATTATCAACAACTGAAGGCCTTTCTGCCCTACCACTACCGAACCGGAAACCAATCTGAGATTTTCTCTACCGTCACAAGACCGCAATACAAAATCATGGCCAACTTGAAAATCGCAAAAATCGAGGTTTACCAACGCTACCTGCCTTACTCTGGTGGCGTGTACTGACTTTCCGGAGGACGGGAAATTACCCGGTTTGATGCAACATTCGTCCGAGTTACCACAAACAATGGTATTGAGGGTTGGGGCGAAAGCACTCCGTTCGATCAATATATTGCAGTACATGGCCTCGGTATCCGAGCCGCGATTGCAGAGATAGCGCCGAAGCTAATCGGACTCGATCCTCGAAATGTCGATCGTATCAATGACGCTATGGATACTGCTTTGCTTGGAAACGAATCAGCTAAATCGGCAATTGATATTGCATGCTGGGATGTTTTTGGCAAGTCGGTGGGATTACCTGTTTGTGACTTGCTAGGCGGACGAACCGATACGCAGTTAGCTGTCCTTGAATCCATTCCTGTCGCGGACGAAGAGGGTACTCGCAAGCTTGTCGCAAAGTCGAGGGCCGCCGGATTTACTGGCTTCTCAGTCAAAATTGGATCTGATCCGGTAGCCAATGCTAAACAGGTCAAAGCAGCACCAATGCTAAACAGGTCAAAGCAGCACTCGAGGACAAGAAACCTGGCGAGCATTTTTTGATTGATGCGAACGGAGGAATGACCGTGGAATCCGCTGTCCGCATGTTGAAGATACTTCCTGACGACCTTGATTTCGTGCTGGAAGCTCCCTGTGCCACTTATAGGGAGAGTGTCTCCCTACGACGACGTACCAATGTGCCTATCATCTTCGATGAACTGGCTTCGAATGAAACAACGATTGCCCAATTCATTGCCGATGATGCCATTGATGGGATTGGTCTTAAGGTTTCTAAGACCGGGGGCTTGACAAGAGGTCGTCGTGTGCGGGATATCTGTCTCGCAGCGGGCTATACGATGTCCGTCCAGGACACAAGTGGATCTGATATTGCATCTGCAGCTATCGTACATCTTGGACAGACTATTCCGGCTCGCAATCTACGTTGTATTCTGGAGTGCCGTGCGATGTGTGATGGCAAAACTGCGGATGGGCCATTCGATGTGCATAACGGTCATCTGACAGCGCCGACTTTGCCCGGTTTAGGTGTCACTCCGCGTATGGAAGTGCTTGTGGAACCAGTTGCCACTTACTATTGATTCCAATGCAATGGGGAACGAAACATATTGTATGTGGCAAGTAAGCTTTTGTTTGATAGTTCCTAAGCTTTGAAGAATGTTCATATTTGTCTATTTACTATATTTTTAAAGAACACTGCCTATGTACCGGGTTTCCTCTGCCACTTCTTGGCCTTTCCTCTCCGTTTTAGTGCTCAGGCCTTGCCGCTTTTTGCTCACTGAGAAAAATTGAGCACGACTTGAGCAAAACGCGGGAGCAGCGAAGTCAGCAGCTTACCCCAATAAAATGCACCACGCTGGTCCCATCCAAATAAGTACAGTTATTTATCAGAACTCTCGGCTGTTGTCCCCTCAATCAAAGTCTGGCGTCATTAATTCGTGGGTCGATCTCGGTATGTACCCTTTTTCTCCTTGAGGTTTCGCTGGTGTCTCAAGGGTTTTGGGACCAATGGGACCAGGGGTTGGGACTTGTGGAGGCTGAGCTCAGATTTTATTAAGCGGATATGTGTGCTCAGGTGTGTTCCGTTCCGGTTTCATCCTTTATAGTAATCAGGCGACCCACACGGGAACGTTGGTAGAATTACATAGTCTATGAAGTTGTAAAACCCGCCGGCCGACTTTAAGTTACGTTAACTAACATCGTATCCATGGACGATCATCGCCAACAGGAGAGATCTCGGAGATATCCAAGACAATCTCGGAGACATTCAACACAATGTTTTAATCAGCAAATGAGTCACTATCGAGAGATATTCCGTTGATTGGTAATTGCGAAACCAACGACATCGAGAATACTGGCATTCCTCATAATCTTTTAAGTACGGCAATTTGACTCAAATATCCGACCAAACCTTTCATACGGTACTCTGTCAATCGTTGCATTCTCACCAAACATTCCATTTCCATTTACACCAGAATGCGTCCCATCAAAAACGTCGTGGCCATTGGCGCCTCGGGCACACTTGGTGCCGTCGTCCTAAAGAAGCTTCTCGAGGCGGGCAAATTCAATGTCACCGTCATCAGACGTGCTGGCTCTACATCCACCTTTTCTGCCGATGTCAAGGTTGTCGACGTCGACTACTCTTCGCTGGAATCACTCAAGTCAGCCTTTAAAGGCCAAGATGCGGTCATTTCACTCGTTCCCACCTTCGCAGCAGACACCCAGAAGGCTTTCATCGATGCTTCCATTGAGACTGGAGTCTCTCGCTTTATTCCTTCGGAGTTTAGTGCCAACCTGGCCAATCAAAAAGCTCGCACCCTCCCAGTCTTCGTCCCCAAAGTCAAGCTTCAGGAGTACTTGATTGGAAAGGCGAAGGACACAGACCTCACATACACCTTCATCTACGGCGGTGGCTGGCTAGATGCAGGTCCGCACCGAAGCTTCCTCATCAGCAGTATTGGCGAAACCACCAAAACGTACGACGGTGGTGACGTGCCGTTCAGCGCATCAACCCTCGATACCGTCGCTGATGCCATTGTTTCGACTCTGGACCATTTAGAGGAGACAAAAAATCGCGCCGTCTATGTGCACAGCCTCGTGACAACCCAGAACCGTTTGCTTACATTGGGTAAGGAAGTGGCTCCCGAGAGATCGTGGGACACGATCGACTTCAAACTCGACGACTTGACCACTAAGTCTGACAAGAGACTGGCGGAAGGAATTGCCGACTTCGAGACATTTCTTCCATATATCTTACGCGCCATATTTGATCCAGCTTTCGGCGCGTGTTATGAGAAGACGGACAATGAGCTCCTGGGGATCAAGGAGGCATCGGAAGAGGAAGTTAGGGAGATTTTGCGGACCTTACTGAAGCAGTAAAGTGGACAAAATAAATATACTCGATAAACGGTTTCTGTTCTTGCTCGTATAACTATAATTGTGCCTCCACTTCAGGTGCCCCGAGGGGCGAGGTGCAATATACATTAAGCACAAAAAATGGGATGTATGCCACATGTTAGGTAGTCGCCATACAACATTTCTTTAGCGAAATCTCTTCGAAGATTAGACGACTTTAATCAAGTCGCAACGTTCTGTTAAATCCACGCCTGAATTTCCAGGGCGCTGCAGAATGCCAAGGTCGCCGACTGAGTGGGTCCCCGTTGACTCCGCCGACTTTTCGTCCCCGGGGCCGGTGCCCAGGTGCCCAAGATGACTTACTTAAGTACCTACATACCCCAACGCCTCGGAATAGTTAATAGAAAAACTTGTACGATATTGGTTTGCACCGCAGAGTGCCAAATACGAAGTAGATAATTGATCAAGAAAAGGCTATATCAACTTTAAAATATACCAAAAATTCTCTTCCAGACCAACGGTCTCTCCCCCCTTCGCCTTCTCCAATTATTTGTCGAAATAAGAATCTCGGGGCATCCCTGAAGAAAGAAGCCCCATTTCCGAGCAAACTCTTCTGTGGCCTCCCAATTTTGTGGATCCCAAGGGGCACCCCACACAAGTAAGGTGGCACCACTGCGACGCGTATCCCAAAATGCTGTCAGATCATGACACAGATCATCGTCATTTAGATGATCGCCAGCCCGAATGAAATTATCACGCATACGCGGGAACGGAAAGATATCGAGCCACGGATGATGGGGGACCTTTCTTTGGAGAGACGTTGGGCGTAAACTGGATGGAATGGAGTCCTCGGAAAGACAAGGCCCTGGGAGATTGAAGATTGAAAGACGGTCGTCTTCACACACCCATTCTGCTGACATGCCCATGGCAAAGGCATTCTCATAAGCTGCCCGGAGCACATTCACTCGGCTCAGTTTGATGAGGAGATCTGTCTTCGGGGAGCCGCTGACATGGGCTTTCATGGCTCCCCTTTCGAAATCGACCATGAGGGCATGCACAGCTGCAGGTGCAAATGTGCATCCCGAGTGCTGTGCTTCAGACAGGCTGCAAATAATTGGAGCAGGCAGAACGTCTGATCGAGCAACATTCGAGCTTAGAGAATTGTCGCCGTCATCCTCATGATTATTCACAGCATCCGCTTGCTTCTCCCCGTTGATGATGGCACACTGCGGTTTCACCTCGTTGTCTTGCTTTCTCGACCCTAGTAAGTAATGAGACTCTCGAATTATCACGTTTTTGGACCGACTGAATACAATTACGTACGGAAGCGCCGCTGATTGAGTCGGTTCTGTAATTTCCTTCGTTCTTTCCGGTTTATGACGCCAGTCCAATTGTCCCGGGCTTCCCGGACGCTAGCCTGCTGGGGCATTCGGCCCAGTGAGATGATATGCGTGTCTGACGAGAGATCTGCCATGCTGTGTGAGAATCGGGGGGTTGGGTGCCTGGGGGGTGAGGCATCCACACCCGAACCCGGGAACCCAACCCTCCCAAATTCTCCTAGTAGCTCCCTTTCTCCTTTCTTTCCCTAGTTTTAGTCTCTTTTAGTGAATGGACCTTCTTCCGAAGCCCGCCGCGTCACACTAGATTAAAACTTATTTTACTATCTTTTGCTAACTGAGAGCCGTATAGACGTAAGCCTATGCTAGCGTCTTGGCATCGGTTAGCCCTATCAATTAGAAGTGAAGAACTAAAAGTGAAACCGACTAATCAGATCGAACGAACTGTTGTATAGATAGACCGATATGGCGGAGAGACTATAGACTCGACAGACTACGAGAGAGCAGGAGGAACAGGAGTGTAGTCTTTACGAAGAAGATTATAGAGAAAGTATATCTACTTCTAGATCCTATCGATTTTCTTAATCCTTCGATATCTTAATAGTTATTATTTATAGACTTTATAATATAATAGAGAAGTATAAAGTTTCTAAGAATATGATTAAATACTTTGAGGTAATAAATATAAAGAAATACTTCGAGCCTTTTTTTGAACTATAGATAAGGATAGAAAATAAGAGTTTATACTTTATAGAATGATTGAATAAGATTAATAATCGATTTGCTTTTTTGTAGGATATTAAAAACTAAATTAACTCTCTAAAAGTAATATACTATGATATAGACGAATACTATACTATAATAGAATGAGAGTAAAACTAAGTAGAATTCTAATTTTTTTAGGTTTAGATCTAACTAATAAATCCAATTTATCTTCGAAGAAGTACGTTGATTATGAAAGCTTTCTAATATTAAAAGATTTAGAAGATATCTAATACTTTTATGTTAAAGGATAGAAAAGATCTATAATATAAAGTCTAGGAGATTGCTATATATTAGAAGTTAGAAGTAAATATAATATATTATTTAATCTCTTTATATTATTTATTGTATAACTATAGTTGCTATAAAGGAAAGGTTTTTTTCTATATTAGTTTTTGAATAAATCCTAATAGAAGTAATCTTTATATTAATATTAGTAATCTCTATAAGTATTTAAAATCAATTTTTTTTAATTTAAATAAAAAAGTAGAGACTAAAATAGCTTACAATATTTTGAAGATAGATCTAAAGAATAATTTTGACAACTTTATTATTAAATTTAAATATTTAGTAGAAGAAGCTAATATTATTAAAAAGTATTTTAAAGAGGATCTTTTTAAAAAGTTGTTTTACTTGCTATAAATCTTTATAATAAACTAAACTAATAATCTTAATATATTCTTTGATTAATTTATTATTTATAATATATATAATTTTTATTTAATTAATCTTTTATAGAAAGAATAAATTAAGAATATTATTAGAATACAATCTATAATCAATTCTAAAAGTACAAGATCTAGCTATAAGAAATCTTTTTTACTAATAATTAAAAAGAAGAATAATAAACCTTCTATTAATATCTTTATTCTATAAACTAATATATTCTATTCGAACTTAATAATCTTTATTAAATATAATAAATTAATAAGTAAGAATAAATATTTTAGATGTAGGAACTATAGTCATCTTAGTTAGGACTGTTTTAGTAAGCTTTCTTATATTACTATTATTATTGTTGGTTTTGTTATTCCTATTTAGAAGATTGATTTCTAGTTTGTTATTTTTAAAAAAACTAATTTGAGAAATAAATAGATTTAGAAAAAGTCTTCTTTTTAGGTAATTAATTATCTATTATTATAAAGAATGAATTAGTAAGAATACTATTAAATAAAAGTTTTATTATTAATGTTTAGATCTTAGTTAATTTTTTGTATTTTTAAGTTAGAGTATTAATAGATAGTAGAATAGATATATATTTAATAATATACTTTTAAATAGTAGAGAAATTAAAATACTATAGTCTTAGAATTAAGAGATTAAAGTAATATCTTATAGTAGCTATTTTTAATAGATAGTCTTTATTATTAATTATCTATATAATCTCTATTCTTTTTATTATTAGAAATTATTAATAGAAGAAGACTTCTATATTAGTTGTGAATATAGAATGATATAATATAATTCTAAGAAGATTATAGTTAATAGATTAGAAGATATTAATTAACTATATATGATCAAGGTTAGAATAGTATTATTTTGGTCAGGTTCTTTTTTTGGAAGTGTTTTTAATAAAGCTCTTCTATCTATTGATTGACGAGTGGCTTCTATTTGGTTTCTATTCTTTGAATATTTAGGTAGTCTAATATTAGTATTGTATTGTTTGTATAAAATATAGTATTTTTTCCCATGTAGCGACTCAACGCTTTAGCACATCTGGTATTGTTTATAATATATATTGGAGTGGGCTTTCCATGGTAACGCCTGGTGTGTATCAAGCTAGAAAAGAATGTTTTCTTCTTTTTATTCTGATTAGATAATTTTGTTGTAAGGGGATATAATGTTTGTATGAATTAGTAGTAGTTAGAAAGGTTTTTTGAAGTAATAGTATAGTTTGAATTTTATATGGATGAACAAAGTGAGTTTAAATCTTTTCTAGGTTCTAATGAAAAGCTAAGATAGTATTGTTAGTTGATTTATTAGAATATTTAAAGTGTAATAAGATAATCTATAGATCCTTTTGATGTATTAATTTAATAAGTTTAAGTTATTATTTATTGACGTTGTATTTTAGATTCTTTTGGAGTCCTAGTATTTGAATATTTCTTTGTTTACAGTAGTAAGCAATCTTTAATTTTATATTTCTAAAGATTGCTTTTAAATGTAGCTATTGTATATTAAAATGAAAAGAGTAGTGAATTCTTAGATTGAGTTCTATTGGGTATTAAATAATATAATATTAAATAGATTTTAGTGATAAATTTGTAAAGTTGTTTTATCTAAAATAGAATGGTTTTTATGATTTATTAATTAGAATGTATTCTTAAATAATTGATAAATATGGGATATGTTAATAATAGATAATATACTTTGAAAAATCTATTATAATTTTTAATCTAATGATCTAGTTTATTTTAAAAGTTTAAATGATCTTTTAATATTTGGTTATATTTAAAAATATTTATAATTCTAGTATAACTTAGATGTAATTATAGTTAGAATTTGAAAACTTCTGTATATTAATTATAGATAAAGTTTTTAGAGTTAATTATAATGTATTCTGTTTCTATTATCTTTTAAGTCTGAGATTATCTAGAGTCTGTTAAGATTTATAATAAGTGATATTATAGAGGACAAAGTCTTTGTTTAAGAAAATAATAATTCTAGTAATAAATCTATTAGTAGTTTAATATATTATGATTAGGAATCTTTACTATATAGATATAAGAGTCTAAGATTCAAAAACGAATTGGAACTACTCTGATAGAATAATCTTTCTGGAGATTGTAATATGATTGTTTTTTAATATATAGCTGAGTGGATGTTACAACTATTTGGAATAATGTTTTACGATATATTTGTTAATAATAATAAGTCTAAATATCCAAACGAAGTTAGTCGTATGATTGAGTGGGGGGATTAAGTGAAAAAGAGTAAAGACTGATTTTTTTTAGGTTTATATAAAAGTTATTAAATAATTAGAATAGTTGGATTACAACTATTCATAGTAATCTAGAGAATATTTATAGTTATTTAATGGTTGTGGAGGTAATTATAGAGATAATAGTTAAAAAGGAAGAGACTAATACTACAAAGAGCAGATAAATGCTTTGGTTATAGTAATAATCTAAATTAAAATTTAAAAAAATAAAAGTTTAGATACTAAAGTCTGATTTTGATTTTTAATGGTTAAGATGTTATTATATAATTTTAATTTTAGATTAATTTTATTTTATTAGAGTAGATTCTAATTTGAAGCTATATATAATTATAAATTTGTAGAACTTTAGATAAAATGTTATTATAATTTGATATAGTGAAATCAATTCTTTAGCCTTATTGTGGATAGTCTGATAGCTAGATAATGATATAATAAGACAGGCTATCAAGGTTTTTGTAGATATAAGCACTTAACAATCATTTTAACTATTCTCTGGTCTACTTAGATCTATTCTTAAGTCCTAATAGTAGATTAATTAAGATATATTAATTAGTTGTTATATAGTATTTATAATAAGTTATTCTAAATCTTATAATCTATAGATAGTCTGCTTAATAAAGTTTCAACTACTATATATAGAATAGAGATAGATTATCTAATAATATAGCCTATTATTTAGGATTCAATTACTTATAAATCAACTTAAAAATACTCTTACTAATAATATATATAAGAGAATTAAATTCTTCTTTATAAATCTTATAGAACTAAAAAATCCAATAGACCTTAGATTATATTACCTATTAGATAAAGACTATAATTAAATTATACTTAATTACTTTCTAGATGATTATAATCCACACAAACTGTAGGCCCTTAGCAAACCATATTTAACGACTATAGAATATTCCCTATATTTGCTCTTAAATAGAATAAAAATCTAATCAAAAGACTAATTAATATATATCTCTATCTTTAATATTTTATAAGACTATAATGGTATTGGTGGGATTATTATTATCTACCTCTATATATAGTAATCATATAGAATTGGCTATTCAATTTACCACAACAAGCAAAACGGCCCTAACCCCTAATCTCTTCATTTTTTATACAAATAATGTATACTAGTTGATTGAGTTTAGTACTTATTAGGTAGTAATAGAATAATTATTTAATACAGAGAATCTAAAAAGGGTATTGTAATCTAAAGATGCTAGTAAACTATTCTTATAGAATATTCTAGAGTCTGGTAAGTAGGATACCATTCTATAGTTATGAAGAGATTTAATTATATTCTAGAATCAAATGGTCGTTGATACTAGCTCGCCATGCACCTGGTATAGAACCAGCTAAATATTATACTATAAAATCTAGTTCTATATAGTAGTATTCACTGATTTCTACTACTCTTAAATCTGATAGAGCTCTTTT